TGCATGTCGAGGTGCCCCATGACATAATTAAATTTAGTATTGTCATCTTTAATCCCGGAAATCGCGAACTGTCCCTCTATCTGCGCGAACCAAATGTCGGGTTCCTCGGGCCAAAATGGTGGCACCCTTACTCCGACTCTAAAAACATCGACACTTTTTATCGACACTTGCCCGTCACTAGTGCTTGGGTGTGGCTCTTGTGGCGATGTGCCTTGCGCATCTTGAGATCCGGTACTCATGTTCGGTATACGGGGTCACCAGTGTAGGTACTAGGGTAGTAACTACTTGTCTCGTGTATGAGGAGTAAATAAAAGAGTTCAACTCACTGTTATCACAATGTATTTGTCCAGCACACGAGAAATAAACAGAAGGTACAGTAGGTAGAAGATACAGGCACAAGCACAGCACAATTAGTAGTTTAAATAGGAAGATAGCTAGTTCAAGAATAGTACAAGAGATCACTAGATATTTAAGGCGTATATAAATAATATATAAGCACTACGTTAACAATATTTAGGCGGTACGAAGGGCTTAGGTAAGCAAGCGTGCGGTCTACAACGGTAATGAATTCAGACTGTTCGAGACGGCGCACGCGCAACGGTTGCCGGCGCGTATCTCATCTAGCTATACATTTAGATAGCATAGTGAAAGGGATGTGTCGATAGAATTTACCGACAAACATATCGACAAACCGATATGTATCGCTGTCATATTTATTTATGATGTACTTATATTATAAACGTGTGTATTAATGATATATATATTTTGTAAATAATATTTTAGGTGTAGAATAAGTGTAAATATTGTGAATAAATAATAATATTAATCTATGTGTTAATGTTTAGTGTTTTATGTGTAAAACGTATTAAACTCAAACGACAGTGGGGGAATCCCTACAAGACCAATTTCAGTGTTGCCTAAATTTTTTGAGAAGATTATAATGGATCAGCTAAAAAATCACTTTAGTGCAAGCAAAATTCTACACAGGAAACAGGTTAGATTCAGAAGAGGTCGCTCGACAAATGATGCCGGTGTTAAAATATATTTAGTGCTTGGGAGGATAAACAGGATGCCCTGGGTGTTTCTTGTGATTTATCTAAGGCATTCGATTGCGTTTTTCATGAAACCTTCATCAGGAAATTGCATTAGTATGGAATTAGGAACACTGCTTTGGATCTTCTTATCTCTTATTTGGGTAATAGGATCCAGAGGGTGGAAGTTAATGGACAGAGATCCCTGGGGTCTCTGGTCACTAAAGGGGTTCCGCAGGGCTGAATTCTCGGCCTTTTTTTATTTCTTGTTTACATAAATGACCTACCTAATGAGATAAAAGATAATCAGGATATCTATTTGCGGATGACACTTCACTTTTATTTAAACTTAAACGACAGCAATCAGTAACTGATGACGTTAATAGCACTTTCTCTAAGAATCGAAGATCGTGAATAAAACGAAATGTATTAGATTTTTTACACCTAATGTTACGCAGGTAAAAACCAATGTTCTAATAAATGGAAAGGAGTTGGATCTTGTGGACACCACCAAGTTTTTGGGTATAACACTAGACTCTAAACTGCAGTGGGGCCCACACATTGACGGATTGTCGAATAGACTCAGCTCTGCAGCATACGCGGTTTATAACATTCGTCAATTAACTGATGTAGAAACAGCTGGACTGGTGTATTTTAGCTATTTTCATAGTGTAATGTCATACGGTATTTTGTTGTGGGGAAATGCTGCTGACATTCAAAGTATGTTTGTGTGGCAAAAGAGAGCTATTCGTGCAATTTATAATCTGTTATAGGTAGTCACTGAGAGATAAGTTTAAAGAAATTGGTATCATGACAGTCGCATCTCAATACATATATGAAAATTTAGTGTATGAAAGAAAAATAATCATTTATTCACAAAGTTTAGCAACATTAATAAAATAAACACTAGAAAAAAAGATAAACTCGTGTAACCAACCACTAGACTACAAAAAGTAAGCAAGTCTTTTCGTTGTCAGGGTGTGCGATTTTACAATAAAGTGCCAAGCAAATTTTATGAATAAGGTATTAACAAATTTAAGTCTTTAGTAAAGCTTAAATTGTGTGAAAAGGCTTACTACACTATTACAGATTATTTAGACGACAAATTTGTTTGGGATTGATGCTGCTCACTCCCACATTTACGTTCCCATCTTTGTTGTTACGTTTGAAATTGATGGACATTTAATTATTATTTTTTTGGTGTATTTCGTATTTTGTTTGTTTTAATTTGTTTAATTCTTGTTGAATTTGAATTGTATAGTATTTTTTTTGTGTAAGTATAAAAATGTGAGTATAATGTAGGCTTGTTATGTTAATTCATATTTTAGTAACTTTCTGGTGGTTTTGAGTGTTTCCACGGCCTACCCAAATGTCCTGCTTGCGGTACTGTCATGCGTCGGGTCGTTGATCTTGACCAATATCGGTTAGGCTACACGATGGCTGGAGCCTGTAAGCCAGGTCTGTATGGACAGGCTGACTCAAAACTGTGGCCTTTTCTTCAAAAGGCCTACCCAGACCCTATACTGTACTCACACAGATTTATTAAACTTTGTTTACGGACTTAAAAAAAAGACACGTCTGTGGTTTGTTTCGGCGTTTCTTCCCAGAGTGAGTCTTAGGAAATGCCGGTCCATCTAGCTGTACAGTCCGACTTGTAAAAATATCTGAAAAGATTTACTTACAGAAATAAATATCATTTGTCATTTATCATTATTGTACTAATTTATTTTAAAAGAAATCATATTTTGTAAATTAATAAATGTGGGAACTATCATTATGATTATTATTTTTTTCCTAGAAATTTCTTTCTAAACAAACATTATTGTGCTTATCACACATAATGAGTAGCTAATTAAAGAACAATTAGCGACAGTAGGGAGCAAATGAGACACATTAGTAAACCAGTTCCGTCTTGCAGCTACATGACCTGCTCAGCTGAGCTGATATTCTGGGTCGCCCTACGGAAAGACTAACACACATCTTTATTTCGATTCGACTTTATTTCGAGACGAACCAATCTTTATGTTTGATTAGAAACATTTCTTTGTTACACTATAAAGAAGTCCACTTTTGATTGAATTTTGCTGAAAGGCTTGATATTTTCATTTTGAGTCGTTTTAGAGAATCGTCAGAAACAACAGACATATTGAATTTTTCACTGAAATAATAAAAAATGCCACTGTTTTGTTCACTTCTGTCATGTTTTAGCCATTCTTCAAAAAACTCCATTTTCGTCATAGTCACAACTCGTTCTGAAAAAAATAAAATAATTTTACTTACGGGCCTTTTCGGGATCATATATATATATATGAATCTGTGCCTGAATGTTGTAGGTATTACATATAGAAAAATCAAGGTGGATATATGTGGATAAAAAAGTTGCTACTCTTTAAAGTTTACAATTAATGTAAAATTTGCCGGATTTATCTATACATTTATAAATTAATATTATACCAAAAGTATACATATTTTTTATAAAAAATATAAGTCATAATAGAGTACATACCTTCACAAAATATTCCATCACAAAAAACTCGTTTTACTTTGCTACCAATTTTCAAATATGTTATTACAAGTGTGCATAAAATGCAACTGATTTGCAAATGAAAATGACCTTTCTTATAAAGGTTACTGTCACCCCCTGATAAGATACCTTTATGAGGTGATAAACAAATTAATTCTTGGAATTCGTTACCTGTCGGGGTTGTTTACAAGTCGTTTTCAGTGGTTCCTTGAAATTACGTCATGAATGTCAGGATAATTATACATATATCTAAATAATTATTAATATAGAAATATAACTCTTAATATTGTAATTAGAATCAACTGTATTTTACCTTTATATTTATTATTGTACGTATACTTCCAGTGTTAGGATTTAGGTATTAACTATAACAGTTAATCTTAAAATGGGAATAAATGTTTAGTTAATCGAAAAAATATATGTATTTAAAGTGTATTGACAATTAAAACATAATAATATTTGTATTTAATATTACCACTTCCGCCTCAACCGATTTGGCATTTCCGCTGGGGACATTATAAAGGTTGAGTCGTAAGTGAGAGAACAAGGGCTCTCTATATCGGGTATCCGAAGTGATAACAAGTGTTCTAAGAGAGTGCTGAATAATTATTGTGAGTACATAATTGTGGAGTATTACATTTGTTAACCTGGAATAAAATACTGTGAAGAACCGTTGAACTGCGTTTGAATTTTGGTCCACACCAACAGTTCAGAAGTGGGATTGGATAAGGAGATACAAAACTTCCTTACACGCCTACTGAAATGTAAGTAGTGACCTTTCGTACTTTAATTATCTTCGTATCTACTTCCTATGGTTATCATTATTCGATTTTAGTGGGTAGGTACTAATGTCTAGACCCTTTTAACATTTTAAGTCGCCGAGCCAATCCAGTCGCATGTTAGTTGACTTTGAAATGGCTTAAATATCATAAGACAACAGCAGCTAACTTTAAGGATTCATTCTAATGATAATCACAGTTATGAATGACGGTCACATCGTTTATGCAGCGTGTTTATGAATTAATACATAACCTCTGACAGGTCAAATAACTTTTGTTTTTTTTTGTTTGTATGAGGTAAGTTTTATTTTCTAAAACATGTGTGTACATACGGTTGCATGCAAGATGCTACATAATAGATTGCTTTTTTTTTGTGCCAACATGTATAATGCACGCAAATGTGGTACATCAATTGGTATAACAATACCAATAAGTAAATTGGACTTTAAATGAGTAAAACGATAACGTCAAAATAAAAATCAAGATTTGTCAGGTAGAAAATCAATGACATTATAATAAACTGATCAAAAACGACTTTAATTCAATTTTGTGTTTTTTCTCTTTCTTTTCGTTTCTTTGTTTGTCTCCTCTTAATTCTTCGTTCCACTTAGGATATTGGAATTTTGGAGCAAGCCGTATTAAGCTTTTGGTTTGAGTTTCAGAGCTATGGATGGCGACAAAACCCGAGGTCAAGGGTATACTGATGATGTCCGAGGTCAAGGGCTTAATAGGCACGATGTCGGAGGTCAAGGACTAGTTGACGGAACCCGAGGTCAAGGATATACTGATGATGTCCGCGGTCAAGGAATTAATAGTCACGATGTCCGTGGTCAAGGACTAGTGACTGATGGAACCCTAGGTCAAGGGTATATTAATGATGTCCGAGGTCAAGGACTTAGTAGGGGCGCAGGCAGCACAGTTTACTGAACCGGAGCAAGTCTTAAAATATTTTAGAACTGTTAAGTAGCAAATTCTCGGGACTACAATAATCAATCGCGAAAGAATAAGAGATAGATATATATGTTGGGTCTTCTAATAACCGGACTGTACAAACTAAACCGGGCTTTAGCAATACAAATATAAGATGTTTTAACTGTAATCAGCTGGGACACCCTAGTTTTAAATGTGATAAACCTCTCGTCAAATGTACAAAATGTGATAAGATGGGAAATCAATCGGCTAATTGTTATACTAAATCCGATAATCCCACTAACAAATCTCAAAACGAGAAGCAAGTTTCTGAACTTAGTAAGAACGATAATTCGAATCATAAATATATCATGGACATAAAGGTTAACGATGTGGTACTAGTGTCATTTAGATTTAGGTAGCCAATTTTCAGTAGCTAAATAAGATATACTAAAGCAAAATCGTTGCGTTTAGCTATAATGACAAATGTTGAGCTGCCGGTGTTACGGGGAATCGGTGCTAATCTTATCCAGCCCCTGGGATGGGTATCGACGATAGTGCAAGTTCAGGGTATTGTAGAATCCGTAGATATGTGCCTTGTAGAAGATTCCGTGCTTAGACATCCAATCTTATTAGGACATTCGTTTACAGAGAAACCCCAAATAGTAATTACAAAGACCCCCGACGGAATCATATTCCACAAGATACCCGCAGTACGAAAATTCATCTCGTCTGTCGAGATGACACCTTAATTCCGATCGATGGGCTGCGAGCAGTACCGGTCATAAACAATACGCTAGAGAAAGGTACTGTATATGTTGACGGTTCCATTAGGGGTCCGGATACCCAAAAATATTACCTTCTACCTGGTGAATATAGTATGGAAAATAATATTTGTGCCCTCCTTATACCTAACATGTCCGCAACCGCAACACATTAAATGCTCACGAAGTTACAATTAGCACAACCGAAATCGATGACTCTGTAAACTGTAATCCTAATTTTACCGCTGAAGAGCGCCTGTCTCTTCAGAATGTTTTATCAGATTTCAAAGATTGCTTCTCTAATAACCTCAAAGATCTTGGATTTACGAACGCCACTGAAATTACTATTGATTTAGCTGACTCAACTCCGGTTGTTTATAGGCCATATCGTATGGCACGTTCAGAAAGACAACTAGTGCAAAAAATAGTACAAGAAATGATAGATAGCGGTATAGTTAGAGAATCGTCTTCACCCTATGCGAGTCCAATCGTACTTGTTAATAAAAAGACCGGGGAGAAGAGGTTATGCGTTGATTACCGCGCCTTAAATCATAAGACCAGAAAAGACCATTATCCTTTGCCAAGAATTGAAGACCAATTGGACTTGCTTGTAGGTAACAGTTTATTTACGTCATAAGATTTAGCGTCAGGCTATTATCAAATACCGATAGAAGAGAATTCTCGTCATAAAACAGCTTGTGCTGTTTTGTATATATAGTCTTTATTTGGTGTCGAGTATTGTAATAAAACTCCCAATATACGATGACACGTCTGTTTAATATAGCAGTCAATACAATACTGAAGTGCCGTAGGCACAGTACATCCCCCTAATATAAAAAATTGGTTACAAACATAACTTAAAAATATAAGTGTTATTTTTTAATTTGGTTACACATAGTAAATAAAGCATTGCTGCCAGAATACATGTGATGATAAATAACAGATAGAACTCGTATTTACTGTATGAATATTGGTTTTCTACGGCCGAAGCCGCCGCGCCGTTGCCCGCACCATTCTGGGCTATCACAATTTGTTCCTCTTGGGGCCTACTTTGTTGTTTACCCATTGTTCTCAACAATTTTAAAAATACGATATCAATGTTGATATTTAATATATTATGTGTTTATGTGGCGAAGCGCACGACAGGTTTGATAGTTCGGCCGAAGCTCGACACTCTCGGCTCATTGTTTACATTATAACTTGCCATATTTGGTATCTTCGAGCATGTCTCGCTGTTGTTAAGTGCAAAGGCTGGCTTCAATCGATCTATACTAACTATTTTCTCCGTATCCTGTTGCATAATTTTATAATTTTTTTCCGTTTTGCTAATAATGAAATTTGAGGGTAGTAGCTAAGTAAACATCAATAATTTTAGGCTTTATTTTAAATTATAATTAAAATAGTTTTCACAATAAATTATACACATTTGATCTCTACTTTACAACCTTATAATACCTTCTGCCGGTGAAAGTGTTATTTCCATACAATACAAGTTTGTTGTCTGCATATATGGATAATATGGAGTCCCTACTCAAAACCATCGCTGACATGAATGTCATGTTTAATACTCGCATGTCAGAATTCGAGGCAAGAGATAAGCTCCAAAAGGAAACTGGCTCATCCGCATCGCCCACTAATCTTGAAACCGAGTTTGCAACCTTCAAAATGTTTGTCCTCCAAGCTCTCAATAATATCCAACAGCTGGTTCAAATATTGGCTCAGACTGCAGATAACATGGAGACTCGGAGCAGGAGAAAGATGTTATTGATTCATGGTGTACCCGAGGAGAGGAATGAAGACATTACATTGGTCGCTGGTAAAATCTTTGGTGAACAATGTAAGGTGAGCGGTTTCACTCTTCAAAATATAAAAAGATGCCAAAGAATGGGGCGGATATCATCATCTGGTAAGTCCAGGCCTATACTTGTCAACTTTCAGCAAGTCAGTACCAGAGACGCTATTTGGTTCGCTAAAACAAACTTGAAGGGCACTGGGGTAACTGTCTCAGAATTTCTCACGAAATCAAGACATCATGTTTTTATGTCTGCACGTCAAAGATTTGGTATAGCCAAGTGCTGGACCCGGCAGGGTGTTATCAATATTACGGGTCCTGATAATAAAAGGCATCGTATAACGACTCTTGGCGAACTCGACTCTTTTAGTGATGAAGTGGTGAAGCCAGCAGCAGCCGCCAAAGCAGCAGTGACTAAGACGAGGCGTGCCGCTAAAAAATTGTGGCGAGTAGGCGAGTACCCCTATGCGTTAGGACGGAGCATTAGATCATACGATCTACGTCATATGGCGTGATGTTCTGCACGTGTAAGGGATAGATAAGGAAAGCCCCGCCTACCGCAGGATGGCCGCCCACTTTCTATTGTGCTACCAGCGCGCGCGCAATATGGTGGACGCACATCTTTTGTTCCACGCCGATGCCCACATTCCGAAGTGCCAGGATCGAACCTTTATTATTATTAATTGTTTATGTATATAAATACCGTGTCGCATTACATTAAAATTCATTCTGCCTTCTGTTATCACCTTGGTACAATAAAGAACTGATTACTCCGTTGCCGAACTCTTTAATTATTTAGTAATTAAATAAGTATTATTCACTTCGCTTGTAGTGATATAAGATAAACAACTCATAAATAGTCGGGTGATTAACACGTTTAACCTCACTAGAACTGGTGCGGGTTCGATTCCAAACCACTTCGCTTCACGAGTGCAAGTACTACACAAATTTTAATTCGTATAAATTTCTATACTAGCATTTTTATCTTTTATCTTTAAATTTTTATTTAGTATGTTTTGGGTCGCAATCCCAAATTAAATTAATTTTGTAGTGCCAGATTATGCAAACTTTTCTTTCACTTATAAATTAATTATTATAATAACATGGTACCGGCAGACGGATTAATTGATTAGAAAAGTCTTAGTAGCACATTTTATACTATTATAACTACTTATTATATTCTTAATATATTTATACCCAGATTCAAATTAAACCATATTTCAAATTACATACTGATGACGTCATCCATCACTAATAGTGACACTGATGAATATTTTTCTGTGTCCAGTGATGATGCTAGTTTCACTAGTATTCCTTCGCTCGCAGATACTATCTCGAGTCAATTCTCTGATGTTCCCAGGAACTTCAATGTCGTACATATAAATGCCCAAAGCATTCCGGCACATTTCTCTGATATGCTGACAGCCTTTGACTGTACGAATATCCACGCAATTCTTGTATCAGAATCGTGGCTCAAACCATGCCTCTCCACAGTAACGTACTCGTTACCAGGCTTTCAGCTGGTAAGGAATGATCGTATTTGTGGACGTGACGGTGGAGTTGCCATGTATATTCGATCCCACATTCCTTTCTCCATAGTAAATATGTCATCTCAGCCCACACCCACAAATGCTGGCGAGCATTTATTCATTGAAATCTTACTCCAAAACACAAAACTACTTCTCGGTGTATATTACAGTCCTTCCCTTCGAGTAGATTATTTTTCTTCACTTGAAGTACTGTTGGAAAATCTAACCCCTTCGTACAGTCACACTATAGTCATGGGTGACTTTAACACCTGTTTACTGAAAAACGATTCTCGTTCTGCCACTCTTTGATCTATTATTGAATCTAGTAATCTTTCTATTCTCACACTAAATCCTACACATAATTTGCCAAACCGTAACTCATCTCTTCTAGACCTCATCCTTGTATCCTCTGTGGAGCACGTCGCCAAATATGGCCAGTGCTCTGCAGATTCTTTTTCCTATCACGATCTTCTCTTTCTATCCTACCTCATTCGTACACCTAAACCTAAAATCATTTTACATCGTAATTTTCGTACAATGAATGTCGAAAATCTTCGCAGAGATGCTGATAGCATCGACTGGGGTCCGCTTTTTAACTCTCACTGTGTTAATGAAAAAATTAACCACTTCACAAATAACCTTACTATCTTATATGACAAGCATGCGCCTATACGAAGAATAAAGGTGAAACATCTCCCTGCTCCTTGGCTTACTGAAGATATAAAGGAGGTACAGAGAAGGAAAGCAAGGGCTCAATCTAAATATAAGAAAAACCCTACAGCATCAAACTGGGAAAAATTTGTACTTATTAGAAATCACTGCAATAAGATGTGTAGGAATGCTCAGCGCCGACATATCCACAAATCTGTTGAAGATGGCGACCCAGTTAAGGTCTGGAAATTTCTTAAGTCATTGGGGATCGGCAAGTCACGTTCTAATTGTGCTTCAAAAGATATTGATATTGATTCCCTGAATTCATACTTTTCAGCTTCATCTAATTATGGAGGAGCTACCAAGACTGCGACACTAAATTATCTTTCTTCTCTGCCGACTCCTAACTGTTCCCCATTCTTTTTCAATCAATTTGCTACATGTGATGTAAGGAAGAGCATAATGTCAATAACTTCCAATGCCGTAGGAAGCGATAGCATCAGCCGTAATATGGTTCTCCCTATCCTGGATGAAATCCTACCTGTAATGTGCCATATTCTTAATTATTCGATATCTGTAAACGCTTTTCCATCTGCATGGAAAATGGCTCAAATCATTCCTCTCCCCAAGAAAAGTAATCCATCCTCCTTCTCAGATTACCGTCCTATATCTATCCTTCCTTTTTGCTCCAAAGTTCTCGAGCGCCTTATTTACACTCAGTTAAGCTCATTTCTCTCAAGAAATTGTCTCCTTAATCCTTTCCAGTCAGGTTTCCGTCCAGGCCATAGCACTACCACAGCCCTAGCCCATATTACGGATGACATTAGGTCGGGCATGGAGGAAGGCAGGCTTACGGTCTTTGCTTTACTAGACTTTAGCAACGCCTTTAACACTGTGGATTTTGATGTGTTGTTGGGTATATTGTGCTCTCTTAACATATCTCCATCGGCAATTGACTGGTTTCGTAGTTACCTGTATGGTCGCCAGCAGCGTGCTTGTATCGAAAATGTGTACTC